AAGCCTCAGAGGTTTACAAAAAGCAAGCTGATAAGAAAAGAGCACTTCAGAAATCATTCCGTGTGGGGGGGAAAGGTTTATCTTTCTACAAAGTATCTAAGACTTAAGTTACCTAACAAAAAATTGGGACCAAAATACCTGGGACCCTTTCCTATAGTTCGGATCATAAACCCAGTCACTGTAGCAGTGTTTCATAGCAGTCTGTTAAAACCTTTCAGGGAGTCGAATTTGAGACCCCCTCCCAAACAAGCACCTGGCCCACTTGTGGTGGCTGGAGAGACTCATTATGAAGTAAAACACATTCTTGATGCTAGATTATACAAAGGCAAATTGCAATATTTAGTGCAATGGAAAGGATATCTGTTATCGGAAGCCACCTGGGTAAAAAGTACTGATGTGAAAGCTGATAGATTCATACGCAAATTCTATGACAAATATCCAAATAAACCAAGAGGGGACTCTTAACTTTTATTCTTGTTTAAATTGCAGGATTTCTCCTTTCTTTAAAGGGAACTGAATGTCAACACTGCAACGACCTGAATTGAAGCTATTTTCACTTCATTTTTGGTTGACACATATTTAGAAAGAAGGAGGGAGGGGGTGGAGTTCTGAGTTAGCCAAAACACTTTCATGTATGGGAACCAAGGTTATTATTGATAACATTTTGGCAGGCTGGAGAGCTGGGAGGAGTGCCCGCATTTTCTACTAATTGGTGAATGTGATTTATGACATCTAATTGGGGTGGGAATTGCAACTTGTACCTTTGTAACCAAGGGGAGGGGAATTTAGTCTTGGGTTCACCTTTGTATGTGCCGTTACTTTGTAGCCAAATAAAAATGTTCTTTGAGGAAGAATTCCTTGCCTTGAAGTTCTTCTAATTGGTCTCATCTATGGGAACCATGACAGACAGCAAGAGAGAAGCTTTTGCGAGCAACATGTGTGTGAATGAGAGCAAGAGAGAAGCTTGTGCGAGCAACGTGTGTGTGAATGAGACAAGAGAGAAGCTTTTGTGAGCAACGTGTGTGTGAATGAGAGCAAGAGAGAAGCTTTTGTGAGCAACGTGTGTTTGAATGAGAGTAAGCTAGAGCTTTTGCTAGCAAAGGGTGGGGGGAGGTTGTGAGCAAAGGGTGAGAGAAAAAGGGAAAGTGAGGGGGAGAAGGGAAAAAGAAAAGGCATTGACTTCTGAGTTCCACTGTTGTAGTAGGAAGGAAGCATTAACATTAAATCTCAACTTTTTATTTTTCCATACTATTATAAACTAGCCATTTCTATAACAACAAATGAATCTAACCAGTAAAGCCGAACCCCCCCCTTTTTTTTTTTGGTCATCAAGTTTTTGACACCTTGCTAAGCACTGGTGGTATTTGAATATTCTCATGTCCTAAAAGTGGTACAATCTGTGAAAAGGTTGAAAAACCCTGTTCTAGAGTGTTATAATCCATGAAACTAATGTGCCAGTTCAAGTAATGTACCGTATTTTCCGGCGTATAAGACGACTTTCTAAACCCTGAAAATCTTCTCAAAAGTCGGGGGTCGTCTTATACGCCCAGTCGTCTTATACGCCGGAAAATACGGGTATTCAGGCAGGCTTCCAGAGTTCGGCTGGCAGGATGCAGGTAACCCCTCCCCCCGTCCTGCCGCCTCCCACCGCACCGCGCCGCTCCGCG